GCCCTTCTTTCAGTTGCTTTCCTATTGTTCTCGTGTCCAGTCTGTGCGATGTGTTTCGCTCATTCTAATCTTTTGGCATCTATTTTCCTGCAGAGTCTTTGGTGTCTCTTCATTCCTATGCTGATTTTTCTTCCTTTTTCGTCAATATGTTTCTGTTCGCAAGCGACGCATGCTATGCAGTAAACTCTCAAAAAATCTAATCTGTTAAATGGTAAAGTGCTGTTTTTTATTCGAATTCACCTTAATATTTAATTTTCTTAGTGTTGGCCATAGTTTTTGAGTACCTTCACAGGAAGGTAGGCCTATCCACTTTTATAAGTCTCGCTCTGTCCTTAATGCTCTTTCGTAATCCCGTTCTGTCATCAGCTTTTCACGGCCCATATGTTTCTTTGTATTACTTTGCTTTGGCAACCGTTACCAAGTGATATTGCAGTAAATTTGTCCAATTCTTCATTGAAGAATTCCACGTCCGTTGATCGTAAATTTCTGATGATCATGTTCCTAATTATTCCTATCTTAGTCTGAAGTTATGATTGGACTGGAAATCGAGTATTACTTTGCGCAAATAGGTACGACAGAAACTGTTGTCCATCCTGGAGGAGAACATCTTATGGAATTGCAAATTTATGTGAAATTCTACCCAGATAATTGTGAGAAAAGTTAACTACCAATCTTTCATCAGCTTAAACGAAATATGGTAAATAGATCTCATATAATTGAGTATTATCTCGGCATATGAGTTCTTTCTGAACAAGTTCCTCTTAAACGTCCCATTGGATAGAATCACTTCAACATACAGGATAGGTGACATCTCACATTTCTTTACTTCCATTGTGAATTTGATTTTTTAATGAATCTGTTTAATAAACTTCAGAGAATCTTCCAGCTTTTCTCTTCCATGTGACCAAAGTGCGAATTAATCATCCACGTACTGCATGAGCACTCCTGGTTGTAGCGGTTACCCACTTTTTTTAAATTAAAAAACATTTGATTAATCGTTAAGCGTTTCATTTTTAAAAATATTCTCACCTTACTGCAATTTTTCTGTCAGTCCTTTGCAGTGATGAATAGGCTCGGTACCATCCCTGAGTTATAGATATCCACATGCTTTCTTTCATAAAAATCATGATGGCGCCCATATAATTCAAATGGGGTAGCATATTTATTTATATTTTAGCCAGAGTACATTTGGGCCAGAAATATTCACCCAGTTCATATCAGATTGACCGCTAAAGTGTATCTGAAGTTGCGGTGGAGGTGGACAGAATGATGCGGAAAGTTCAAGTCATTTCCGTATTTGCGAAAACCTTTGCTTCTTATGTAGGAACAAATGATATAAGTTGGCCTGCAGAAAAGAATTTAGCTCATTTAATTTTAATAATTACTATTTTGGTCACTCTTAATCAATCAAGGCTATGTTTGTAATTATAGTTGAATTTCCTACAATGCATTGAGTAGGCTTAACGCTATCATTGAATTTCACTTGGCCCTGCCTACTTAAATGTTTATTCACGAAACATGTACTTCACAATCTACCTTGCTTATGATCTATCTACATTCCCATAGGGTTCACACCCAAGTTATAGTGAACAAATTGTAGTACGCTACCACTCAGCAAAACAGATTTAGATGCTAGTTGGCCACAAAGCGAACATTTATAATTAGAAGAAAAAATGTAAATATGCAATGGATTAATAATCTTTTTATTCATTCCATCAAAATAACAAAATTTACTTTACTATTAGCATTGACTGCCTTTAAATGACAAGTTATTTGAACTGCCACATATCGAGAAAGATTTCTGAATTCCATAAAGACAAGTGGTGAAAGGTAGGTTTCCTGGCGCAAATATGGAAAATAAAAATGCGGAAAAACTCCACACTTCCTTGAGCACCCCAAATCAGTGCTTACTGCCCCATCGTAATAGCACACCTCTCCCATTAGTTGTTGATCAAACTCAGTTCTTCCATGACAGCAGACCTGAAGATTCAAAAAATATTAAGCCATAAGAGCTCCAAAGGAATCATTAATATTCCCATATAAACATTCTTTTAGCATTATTGAGGCAGTGATATCATAAAGGAGACAATTTTACTGTATTATTTTTATTTTATTATAATTTAAAATATCACTTTTTCTCAAACACTTCAACTCTTGGCTTAATAGAATTCGAGGCTAAATGTAGGCTTGTAGATTAAGATTTTAGGAAGATAAAGTTATGTTTGAAGCATAAAATTTCACACAACTAATATTAATATCCCAAGTTAGAGTGACTACACTAGATAATTGCCTGATCTACAAATTCAACAGGATTCTAGGCCAGTTAAGCGTTAAAATTATGACAACTAATAAAATGAGATTTACCTCAACTCCCCCAACTGAGCTGTAAAGAGAAGGTTGCCAACCAAAGATAAGATTGATCTTGAGAATTATGCAAGGGGTGCCCATTTCATAGCCGAAGTATCGCATTTTATTGCATAAGTATCCCCAATTAATGTTGAAGGCACAGCTATCGAGTGTGCTCATAGTTTCCACTAAATCCGTAGAGTTATCTACTCCTACATAGGAAGAAAGAGTATTTGAACATGCAACCAAATTTGTGCTTCTCTCCTGAATCAATTCGTAGTGCTGTGTAAAAGCTATAAGATTGTCTGAATAAGATGAATATGAATCCCGATGTCCCATCTAAAAGTAATGTGTAGGAAAGAATATTTAGAGACACGTTAACTTTAAAATGTTTACACGTTGAGTCATTTTACAGGAGTGATTTGGCCTCGTTTCCGCAAATTTGCCATGTTTAGTAGAGAGCCTAGATGAACGAATCTTGCGAAAGCAGCCATGATAGGTTCAAGCGACACACAGTGGGTTTCTTACATTCTCAGACAGTTTGCATGTATTTTAATTGGCTTTATCAGTGAGCTTTGCTATTCTTACCTATAAGATACAACTCGTTAAAGAAACAGGTGAAGTCCATTTCCTGATAGAATTTCTGTTGAAACGGCCACATGTTCGAGAGTTTATTTCATAACATGCAGCTAGAGTGAGCATAAGCATATTGGTGGAATTGAAATAAAAATCAGCATACAGATCAAGGAACCCCAAAGACTCTGCGGAAACATGGATGAGGAGAGATTAGAAATATCAGAACAGATTGCAAGGATGGTAAACAATGTAAATAGGAAAGCAACAAAAAGACTAGCTGTATTTCGTAAAAATACATATAAACGCAAGATTTGAAAGGCCATTGGTCGGAAGACTGGTGATAGCACCGACTACGAATTGAGTGAAACCTCTTAGAATCTACTAAGTGAATGGTCCGAATACTATGACAACTTCTGAGATGACTTTCCATTTTTAAGGAACAGTTGGTTGGAAGGAATTCGTGATGTCGTCTCACCAGAAGTCGAAGGAGTAGAGCCGCCTAGCGAAGACTTTTATATTGTGCAAAGAAGTCCTCGGATCACTATCATATGACCTTGATGAATCAGTGTTAAGTTTTCGTCTGTAGTATGATTGACATCATCAGAGCAAGAATCCACACTTTACGAAATGGAGCGAAAATATACTAAAGCAAAAGTAAAGGAAGCCGGCTGCAACCCTAGTTGCTTTTTAAGATACACCTAACCTTGCCATCTTAATAAGCTATCCTATGATCGTTAGAGTTCTATATCAAAAACTTCCAAGTTTCGGAGATTGCTTTTACTGAGTATAAATAAATCATGATGTTTTATGCATAACGCTAACTATATTATTTACAATAACCCTAAGTGGGGTATCTTGCTAATCAATTTTTGGCAGACCATAGTATCTCGCTGGAGAAGTACGTTCATATTTACTTTTTCAGTTTGCCGCTGTTTATACATTACTGCGGAAGATCCCTAAGTCTGACAATAAGGCCTTCTATCTTGTCGCTAATTATAGTTTCAAACGTTGTATCATTGCCTAATGCCTCTAACCTTTTCTGTACATAATCAGTCCTTTCTATAACTACTATTGCTCCTCCCTTGTCTGTCCTCTATACCAATCGGTCATTAGCCATAAGCTTCCTTATAATATTTTTAGGGAGACCTTCATTTCGTATGAAAATACATGAAGAAGAGATTCGTTGGTTAATCTCCAGAAGACGACGGCTGAATCACGTTGTACTGCAGCCAATTGGCGCAGTTCACGAGACATCCTCCCACTCATAGGGTTAAAATGGACTGAGCATCGTCTATCATATGATCGACATCATCAGAGCAGGAAATCATTCTTGTAACAATCTCGCGTTAACACTAGGTCAAGAAGACTTAACTCACAC